CGAACCGATATATAAATACATATATATATATATATATATATATATATATATATATATATATATATATATATATAACATAGATTTTACAACCACTGGTTCATCTTGTTACACGAACACCAACCGGCTAGTTTGTATCGCCCCACATGGCTCAGACCAGCAGTCAAAGACTTTATACATTGGCGCCATGTTTTAGTCTGGCCACCTCGGGCCTTTTTCCCGCCTGAACCTACTTCGGCGAACATTGTGTGACGAGGCAATCGGCGATTAGGCATGCGTAACACATGTCGCTGCCAGCCATCTCAGTCGATGAAGGTTCATAACCACATCAACTGATTTACCCCTTCTCCCTAAAACCCTACGTATGACTTCTGCGTTACTCATGTAGTGACATCACGGAATGCGGTCTAAACTATGAAGGAAAAGGTGGTCAAACACCTGAAGCCTTCTCATGTCTTCTACTTTCAATGGACACATTTCACAGCCATAAACTAGAGCAGACCGGACTGCTGTGCAGTACACGCGACCCTTAGTAGACAATCGGATATAACGGCGGCGCCACAGGTGGCGTAAGTTGGCGAAAACCAGTCGAGCCTTTTGCATCCGTGCAGAGATTTCCCCGGCCACTGAGCCACCAGGGCTCATCCTACTTCGCAGGTAAGTGAAGTGGTCGACACACTCAACCACTACACTCTCTATTGTTAGCCGTGGCACCGTTGAAGACCAATCCTGGAGCAACAATTTGCAGTTGGGTGGTGAGAAACGAAGACACTACCACTCGCTTCAAACGTCAGAGAGTAATCCACTAGGCCACTGAGCCACGATAGTCACCCCTTATGCGATAGTTATAGTATAGTTTTGATGTTATAGCTTGTGAATCTCCGTCATTGACTGGATAACACTCTGACGTTTGAAGCGATCAATTCTGGGTTTAATTCTACATGGGAACAACACTCACTGGCAGGCAGATGCATCCAGCCAACGAGTCCTGAATAGGATGAAATGCACATCTTGGATTTCGCTGCTAGCTACTATTCATCATTAAAATCGAAAGTGAACAAGCTTGAATTTTCATGTTTACTTACAACCGAAATCTAACTGGTTGACAATCTTTTCCTGGAGTCATTGAAATGTGGCGGATAAATAAAGTACCTCAAAGTATTTGTATTCAAGATGTATTGGATAGGATCAGTCTGTCCCTGCATCCACTAGACTATATAGTCTATACAGTCAATGACACAACAACCGAAGGAAACAACCAATCACAGACCGCATCATCAGAGCAAGCCACTAAATCACTCACGGAGAGATATTGACAACTCACTTCATACTGAAGTTAGTGTTAGTGATATCGTCTAGAAAGACGATGACAGTTTCTGTCGAGGTTGAGTAATGGGTGTGTACTACTGAGTAGTTCCATACTAGGACGAAACACTTATCCAGTGCTCCCAAGTTTTCAATGTTCCTACAACTGATGTCAGTTCATGATGAATTCCAACCTAAAATCAATTATTAAACATCCACAAACCTCAAGATAAAAATAACAGTAATATGAAGTAACTGAGTGAGTAAATATGCACCAAGAAGTTGGCAGAAGGGGCAAGATAGCGAAGACTGGACTTCAGGTGAGCGTAGAGAAGACGGAAGTGACGAAGATACCCAACCAACAACAACAACAAGCACCAATCACCAACGACAGGAAAAATCTAAAAGGAGTTCCCTCATTCACCTGCCTTCCTAAGCAGCATCCACTCAACTACAGGCGGCACAGGTACACATGACGATGTCAAACCCAGGATCGGAAAGACACCAAGACAGACCTTCATTAACCTGAAATCAGTGTGGAGATCTACTGCAATCAGCACAAAGCGTGAACAACACCACGATTCTCAACACTAATTCACTCAAGTCACTGCTTCTATGGGGTGGTTCACAGACGTGGCACGTCACGAAAAGCATTTCCAACAAACTACAGACATACATCACATCAACAACTGCACTCAGCTGCGCTCACTCCATACTGAAAGATGGAGATCAGATGGCCAGAATAATAAGAATAAGAAACAAGGAACTCTGGCTGGCTGGCTGGCTCGCTGGCTGGCAACGAACCAACCAGGAACCTATCACCCAACAAACATGCAGAATAAAGTGGAGATGGATTGGATTGGATTGGGCATACACTGAGAAGACCGATTGGGGACATCACGCGCCAGGTCAGGCCTTCGAGTGGAACCCGAAGGGAAAACGACGAGCTGGGCGTCCGAGGTGAGAGTGACATGGAGGAGATCGTGTGAGGTAGAAATGAGAGCTTCTGGGTAGTGGTGAAGTCAGGTTCAAAAGATTGCAGAGGACAGAGTGCAATGGTGACATGCTACTGAGGCTGTTTGTTTCACTAGGAACACAAAGGACAAGGAATAAGAAAAATAAAATTGTTTGTGTATACACAAAAGAATCACATGCATATTCTAGAGCGGAGGTTGGATAAGAAGGGGAGACAAAGGTATTTAACATAATGAGAAGGGTTACATAAAATATATGTAATAGAGGAGTTTGTGATTTGAGAGGTGAAGAAGTCTTCAAGAGCAGTATTACTCATCACCCTATTGACATGAAGTCGATATCCAGAAATCGTGAACCGGGATGTGATGCGTTTCGCTGAAGAGGTAACCATTAAACGACTAAAACCAAACCTGTGTTTATACAGCAACAGTTATCAGCCTGCACTTACCATGGTAAAGACCTTTGTGTTGTTGACAGTCATCATTACCGATTCATATAGGTTTGTTTTCTTTTGCTTTTGTCCATTTCAAACCCTTGACCTGGTTGTCTGAATTCTACTCATTTCTTAGCTGACACAAATCTTATGGCTTTTCTTTACATACATTTTATTTAGCCTTTCTCAACATATTGAATACATTTGTCTCCCCACCCCCCTCTTATCTAACTTCCTCTCTACAATATTCATCCTATCCATCAAGATATACTGAAAAACTTAATGTTATCAGTTTGACTATCTGAGACAATTAAGGTTTCACAAACTTGCATTATTCATACTCAGTAATGATTGGCAGTCAGGTATAACCCTTGGTGATTGAAGTGAAATAAAATCCGGTCAGCAGTTGGTTCTCATGGCTCGGTTGATAGAAACCCGAGTCAGTAACCCAGTGGTCACTGGTTCGAATCCTGCGGCTGCCTACATTTTCATTTTACCTCCAATCAACAACCAGTATCAAAGTTACTGGGTCCTCAGTTACGTCACATCACCGTTATTTTTATTTCAAGCCGATAATTTTCTACCAAAATGATTCAAATATGCAAGTATTTGTGCAAATTGCTGTTAAAATCGTTTTAGGTTGTAAGCGGCTGATGAGAAACTGCGAAATAAAATGGATTCATGTTATTCTGTTACAACCGTTGTCCTCGCAATAATTAAATTTGTTAAGTGGAAGAACTGCATGAAAAAAGTCATCGAATGAAACAATTAACAATGAAGATAAGGAGGACGTCTTCCATTAAAACAATATTAATAAAGAATAAAACAGTCAAAAAAGAACGGAACAAGCCACACTGACATACAAATCATAGGGATGGTATCAACACAACTATGTTTTATACTAAACAACTATGTAAGCCTAGATCAATAAGAAATAGCTGCTACCTTGACGTGGTAGTAGCAGTGATCCAAAGAAGTACACTGGCTGTAACGTATGTTTCCCCGAGTCCCTACCAAGCCAGAAAGGCCCGTTGGATCATGTTAAGACGAAAAGCAGTTACTGTTAGTGTAAATTACTATACTATGATGGAGGACAGAGGGTGGACTTTGTACTGCTGGGTCGATGGAACGTAACAGTAGTAAGGTGTTTCCCCTGAATGACCAGCAGTGCCACACTGATGCTTCCTTCCCAATGAGAAGGGAGGACTAGAAGAGGTCAGTCCCAAAAATAACATACTCCTCCTTGCTCCACAGTTTTCCGGTGCCGGTGGTATGGGTTTTCTCTATCCGTCGTTAGAATAAGCAAACCTCAAAATGCTGCGTAAGACAGGCCTCAAAGCAGATGTCCCATGGGCTCTACGGTCCGAAACCTTAAGACATAACACAATTACGTGAATCTATGCATGTATAGTGAACACTGAAGTGATTAAACGAATATTTATGATGACGGTTTATAGGCTGATGTAATTTAATGAAAACCACCACAAACTCATTAATTTTCTAAAACAACTAAATAAATGATGAAATATCACAAGAAGGTGTCCCTTTCAAAAATTATACTAGAGAGAATCAACTAATGAAGCGTAGACTTCACTGAAAAACGATGAATTGCCCTCTTAGTTTTGATCAAAAGTTTAACATTTCTTGTAATGTGGCATTCATAAGCGTAAAAACTTAATACTGAGTGATGATTGAGGGCGAGATGAAAATTTGGACCGCAGCCGGACTGGAACCAGTATAAATACTAGTCTGCTAAACCACGGCTATCTCAGATAGTCAAAATGATAATCAATATGATGTCTACCTCTCCCTAATTCAGTTACATTAGGATTGGGATGAGAAGTCCTGACAAGGCGGCCGGTGTATGATCAAGCGACAGTAAAGTGTCACGAATTCACATGGTAGTGGGGTAAAACCCTTGGTGATTGAAGTGAAACAAAAATCTGGTCAGCAGTTGGATTTCGTAGCTCAGTTGGCAGAGCAGAGGGGCAGAAATCCGGTGGTCGCTGATTCGAATCTGGTCGCGGTTCAAATTTTCATTTCACCTTCAATCATCACCTCGTATAAATACTATTTTGTCAAACCACGGATATCTTAGATGGTTAAAATGGTAACAACTTGGGTTAAATCTTAAGTGCATCTACAAGTCGACTAACTGATCACTGGGAAACATCTCATTGAAATGATATTTCAAATCTTCTTCGTGTCATTTACTTTCAGATGTAAATACCTGATGCAAATAAATATCCATTAGTGATCAGAAAAGCCGAGAAATGTATCTATAACGTACATAGCAACAATTTCTTCGGATACATTTGTAAAGCATTTCCATCCAGTTTTAGCATGATGTCGTATTGTAGTCATTAGATTGACAACAGCTTCCGGTCTAGGTGGACGAATCAATTCAGATTTCGGTATCCAATAAGCAGCATTCAACCAGGCTTCTTGTGCTCCATTTATATTTACACACTTACTCGACTGATCCCCATTGAGTACAGGAATCCAATGTGTTTTTGAAGCGGGGAGTAATAATGCATTTATACATGATGTAATACAATCGGCTACTGTTGACGGAGAATAACCACCTTCTAAAGCCAAAACTATACGACTGTTTGAAATGGACATACACTGAAATTAAACAAAAAGAAAATAGAAAGAATCAAATATTAAGCATATACACTTATTACCTTCATTCATCAACAACTGCCAACGCTGGCTCGTTACTGAAGTTCAGATGGCCAGAAAGAATAAGCAACAAGGAACTCTGGCAACGAACCAACTAAGAACCCATCACTCAACAAATATGTAGAAGAAAGTGGAGATGGATTGGGCATACACAGAGAAGGCCGACTAGGGACATCACGCGTCAGGCCGGACCCTCGAGTGGAACCCCCATGGGAAGCGACGAGTTGGGTGTCCGAGGCAAGGGTGACATGGAGGAGATCGTGCAAGGAGGAAATGAGAGACTGTAGGCTGTCGTGGAGCCAGGTTCAAAAAATTTCAGGGAACAGAGCACATTGGAGACGTGCTACTGAAGCCCTATGTTCCATTAGGACCCCAAGGGACAAATAATAATAATTATTATTATTATTATCATTACTACTTCGCATTTTTTTAGTGTGCCGCACAATCCTTCGCAGGTTTGTAATGTAAACTCTTGGTTGAAAGAATAAATAATCAAACTAAGAGAGTCGTAACAAGTAGAAATCAACAGTACAGTAGCATTTAACGATGTAACTAAGGACGGTGAACACAACTAAAAATGGTAGAGGTTTGGAAAATCCCAAATATGAAGCTCTACAACGAATTATTTAAAAAAGAAACAAAATTTTCAGCACTCATCAGTAAAGCGTGAATGGCAATAAATATGACTTATATACTGCGTATATAGACGATAATCGTGGGCATGATCCCTGGAAGAGAGTCAAAGGTGTAGGGTGCTGAGGAGTCCTATACTAGGACAAGGCAGCTGTTAACTGCTTCTAGGTTTCCAGTGTTTCTCCAACTGATATCAGTCCATGATGAATATCAATCTGAAATCAATAATATATTCCTACAAACCTCAAAATTGAATTACTCCCTAGTGCTCATTAGTGACATACTTTGTGATGAGATTTTACAAAGTTCTGATGGGAAGTTGTGATCGGTGGGGCAAACCAAATCGGATGTAAAAAATAATTACCCACCGATGGCACTGGATGGAGGTCACGCTACATCATGAACTGATAGAAGTAGGAATGCGTGGACCATTGGGTTCCAACCTAGTGGTTCAATGGTAATGTGGTGGCTGCGAAACATGAAGGTTCTGGATTAAATCCCTGATGGGTGCGCACTGCTGAGGAGTCGTATACTAGGACGAAACAGCTGCTCAGTGCTCTCAGGTTCACAATGTTTCTTCAACTGATGTCAATCCATGATGAATATCAACGCGAAATGAATAAGCAGATCCTTACAAACCTCCAAATACTGGTTGGAATAGTCGATGGGTTCATATCCCACATGCAAATATACACGCATACTACTGTTAGTAGCAATAGTAGGAATAACTATGCATTAATACTAATATCTACAAAGAGAATATTTGACGACAGGTAGAGAACACAAATTCACTTGTCTAATTGTTAAATGATGAACTTGTAAACAAGGCTCAAAAGGAATATTGAATATATTTATTTGATATAGCATACAATGATGGAGTATTATTTACTGGATGATGCTTCTAGTATAAATTATTGCTCATCAACACGTCATCCTTGATATGACTTGGAGTAGAGAGACTTGATCATGTACTTGCTCGGTACTTCATGCACAACTAGATACTGCCACAAAAATTTACGCTTGACAGAGTAGAATGTCGCCTTCGGGTCAAGTATGGCACGTTTAAGGTGGCAGTAAGTATGCCTGTGTTTTATAACCTGGGAAAGGGTGAAGATTTTATCCATATACCCTAACCCAGATCTAAAAGTTCTCCGGTTCTTCCATTTATTTTTCTCAGGTTCCACTTAGGCGTAGCATCTTAGACAGAATGTTAGGCAAATTGACTCCCCACTGGTTGTAAAACAAAAACGCTTTCCTTTCTTATAAAATGAAATGATCAGTGATCTAGACCACGTTGACAGGATCACCTTTGATTTCTATAAACTAGTTGATATTTACTTTACTTTACCTAGTAATTTTCTATCTTAATCCTAAAAAGCTTCTAATGGAAAACCACTCGGTTCTGTTGATTTGCACTTTTGAAATAGACTCTTCAGCTTCGAGAAGAGTTGGAAAACTATCATCTAAGCCCATTTAGATTCAGACTGAGAATGATGTGGATGAGTTGAACTGTTCTCCAAAGCGTTTTGCCCAACGTCCCAGCCACCTATTTTGAAAGATGATCAAGGACTGATCCTTTCCAATGATAATCAGATCACGGTTTTACTCAGTGGATTAAATAGATAAGTTACATAGTTGGGCAAAGAGAAGTTTTCCAAACTGATTCTCTGCATTCAATAAACATGAAAGGCTAATCAAAGAAAACGCCTCTGTCTGAGTCTTTCGCAACGATATAATTTTAGACGAATTCTGCAAATGTGAGATTAGTTTTAATGGGAAAATGTCATTTATTTGATACTCTTCAGATTAACATACTATTGGTTTCGAAGCTTCAAAAGGCAGATAAATTAAAGTTCATCTTCCAAATGTATAAACTCTATCGCACATCATCCTTTTACACAAACTTCTGAAAGCCATGATTATATGTTTATAGGGACTCTTCAAAGGATTCCAACAGAATCAAGTGCTTAGTAGTTCGATACTTTCATTTCATAAGATCCTCACATGGACTGAGTATTTTTCACAAGAATTTTTCGATAGGGTATATTTAAAACAGACAAATAAGTTTCATTACATTTGTAATTTGTCTTCAAATATATTTCAGGGAAAGAAACATCTTGGAATTTTTAAAAAATGACTACTTGCAAAATTGAAATTTGAGTTGTTGCAGATAACCAGTAGTTAGGGTTAAAGTAGTCTCAATGGGGAAATCTGTACTAGCCTTTCGACTGCTCACTGATATATCTTGTTAGCTGTATTGAATCATACTACGTAGCGTGGAGCATACTCTGCACAACACTATGTGCTAGCTTCTTCGATAAACTAATCATTAAAAAAATGTTCATCAGATAAAGTAACTACTTTCATCTAGTATTATCACTAGTGTGGAGCTGTGATTCATTTGTTTAAGATGACTAACATCTAGTGGGTTATGCGTTCGAGCCCCGCTCCACTTACCGAGGTTCAAGTAGCTAAGTAGTATCACTAGCCTTTACACAATAGGCATGGCTCATTGCCTACGGCACAGATGTGTACAGGATGGTTGAGTGTATTTCGTTCGTTTCGCTGTCACTCGTATGAATAAAAATCAACATCAATGATGTTTAATGTAAGATAACTGAAGTTAGGAAACGTTTACCCTAAAAAAAGAGCTCATTATCATGATTTCGAGTCAATCAACCCGCAAGGTATTATCAATGTATTGCACAAATGATAAATATTCACAGATCAGAGGAACAGTTAGTAAAATAATGCCATCCTACCTGATGTGTAATCCATGCAAATAGGCCAGCTGATACAGAATAACCACCAAGTGCTTCACCATGTCCATAAGCAGCATCATAACCAGCTGAGATCAATATGATGTCTGGTTGGAATTCGTGTCCAACAGGAATGACAACAGATCGCATTGCAGCCAGATACTCTGCATCACTTAAACCTAATAAAGGTTCATTCAGTGTAGGATGGTATGGATTCGAAGCTGACAATAAATGCGAAGGAAGTGCTTGCTGATGTCTTTGCAACTGTTGATGATGGTGAAATGGATTTGATTCAGATGACAACAAATCTGATTTATCTGGACATGATTCAGTTGATTGAGATGCATTGAAAAATCCACAATTCATATTGATATAGGAAAGTGAAGATGACCGGCGCGATTGTGATAAACAGAATGAACAAACTTGACTACTACCCGTACTCGTCTGTCCATTCGGTGGGCATACACAACATGGTATATCTGAATCATTTCTACAACTTACAGAATGTGGAAAAGAGGAGAATGAGGATCTGTCTTGTTCAGAAGAATTGAGGTTGTCTAAATGACTTGAATGATGTGCACCTTCACTCTCTCCTTTATGTAACACTTGCTATAAAGAGCAAACAAAGAGATAATTTTTTAACGAAATCAAAATTGTAATCATTATTCATAAATATCAATATCAATGTAAGGTCTACGTAATGTATATAACGGTCAACGGAGTTTTAGTCTGTTAGAAATATTAGCTACTGTTATATTTCGTAGACTTTGCAAAGCATGTGAAATGATTTACAAAAAGGAGGCGCGGTTTCATTCAGATAGTGGATGCACTGATTACTGTGTTTAATCGTAAACTTCACATTCTCCTCCTAGACGACACCATCACCACCAACTTCAGTTTGCAGTAACCTGTCAATATCTCTCCATGAGTGATTTAGTAGCTTGCCTTCACAAACTGCTTTGTGATTGGTTGTTTCCTTTGATTCCTGTCCCATTGACTGACTACATAGATTTTCCTGTTGGCTGTCACTCTGTTTGACCTCTCACCTTTCTGTCCTTTATCATTTTTCTCATTAATTGATACATTGCGTCTATGTCTATACATCTATTGATTGTTGACTGACCGACCGAACAACCGACCTGAATGTCAAGCTTCTAAGAATTCTCTTATATTCTTTGTGTTTCCTTTCCCCGTCCAAGATCTCTACATTGTCGAAATTGAATTCATCTCCATGGTTGTTATCCACGTGCATTTAAATGAGTGATGAAATGTCATGAAGTCTAATAGCCAATTAATATTCATGCAGATGAAAGCTAAGAGGGCGACGACTTTGTCCAATGTAGTGATGACTTCAGTTATTGCAGTTGATTTTGTAAATGATATTCGGTTCGTCTTCTTTGCTTGTTGCATCTTTTGATCTGCATAAGTGTTTGGAGGGAATTTTTCTCTTTATGAGCCATACCAATTCCAAGTGGTCTCAGTAATCTTGTCGTAATTGCTACCTAATTATTTTGGACTTCAGAAGAGTGGTTTCATCCCACCTTGCTGTGTGGTTGTGTGTCAATTCATGTGTTGAGACAGCTGAGTGTTTTTGTAGATTGTTGATCTTATTGGGGTCTGTCATTCTATATTTAGTTAAATTCCTATGTTCAACTGTTCTAACTGACCCCAATCGGCTAGTTTGACCAACGTACTTGGCATTCTTTACATTCACGTTCGTTTATGAGATATCAACTTAGAATAATGAATAGCATGGAACGTTTAGGTAAACATGTCAGTTAATTCATTTATGATGATATAAGGCAAAAACGTGAATTTCAACGCTCAATAAAAGACTCATCAACTTCTAAGTTCAAAAATTATCGATACAATATTAACCGAAACTTTCTACACGTTTGCATGTTTGTTTACAGGCCTTGATTGTTTGAAGTAACTCTTCTTCCTTCCTAAATGTCTTTCAGTAAAGCTAATAGGGTTACATTGCCCATAACTATCATTTTATTCTCTAAGTAAAACATTCTATACTGAAAATCTCCGTAATGTTTTCTTATATTAACGACTGATTCGTCAGTGCATGGAAAAAAAGTTGATACATTGGACCATATCAATGTGTTCATTTGCTTTTGTGCAGCTGAGTTACTCGCATTATATGGTGACTCGGAAAACAACCACACGAACACTACCCAAACTAACTACTGAAGAGTGAGCACAAAACTGTTACCAGTCTCATCTTCGAACACCTCGTAGACTATGGACATCGAGCTCCTCTGGAAATCTCGTTCAAAGTTAGACCAAACCGTTCAAGATAGATAGGCAAGCAGAAAAAAAATCAAAGTAGAACCTCCGTTCAAGTTACTGCACTTCACTGTAGCATACAAAGAACAAGTTGATGGAAAAGGATTGATAACAAACTAGAAAAGCTGGGTGAGAGAATAAGCAATATATTCAAGATTTAGAAGACTTCAAAAAGTGAATAAGTCTGCGCCAGTGTCACCAGTTTTCAGTCTTGTTACCAAGAATCCTCAACCACTGATTCCTATCATCCCCAGGACTCGAGCCAGGCAGTCTACATCTCTCCACATGGCTCAAACCAACAGTTAGCGACATCACTGACTGGTGCTAGGTGTTGGTGTGGCCATCCTGATTGCTCCCTCTTCCAGCCTCCTTTATCATTGTATGTCGGGGTAGGCGGTGGCTCAGCATGCCCAGTACATACACCCAAGCCATTCAAAAGGAATGCGGACTGAACACTTTTGTGCAGCCAAAGCCTTGACAATTCACAGCTTCAAACCTCAAGTGTGTATTCAAAGCAAATGTGTACAAAGAGTTTCTTTACCATGGCCTTCATCAGATACACTGCAATTCTGTTTATATTTTATTTTTACCAGATAACGAATTTTATTGTTTATTGCAATTTATAAAAACCATTGACATCATGTTTTGAGTTAAGTAATATCATTTCATTCTGTATATTTATGTATCGATGAGATTTGACCTTTGACCGCAAACATTCAATCATTCTATTTAGATATTTACGAGTGTACAGCTGTGAATACAACTTATCGAAAAGATAATTATCTTCGCTGTAACCTGCTTTTGTTTTTCAACGATCAGATAGGGGATTTTTCTTGATTAATATTTTCACGCATATAAAATAAGTCAAAATGCCTATCTTTTGGATAAGCTAAATGTCTTAGCAATAAAGCTGATATACATTGATAAAGGTATGATATCGTATATTTACTTGTTAGATGATCTCTCACCAATGGAATTGACGCTATGTAGTCCGTTAACATCATTAGTAGTTGACTTTAAGTACATGAAAACTTCTATGATTGATTGTTACAAGAGAAATCACTAGGCAGAGAAGTGATAGACAGACAGTTTAATCAACGTAGATGTATGGAAAATTCTACTATCCTTGTCATCACAGAGGAGAGAAAATTAGGACTATATAAATTCTGTCTTGAAGTTGTGTAGTTACCTGATATGAATATGGACAATAAATTATGTCCGAAACGTTATCCAGTAAATGCTAATGTTTCACTGTGTGATATTTCTAATAAACAGACTAAAATGGAATTACACTCGACCATAGTGCCCAAGTTTTACACTTATATTATCAAATCAAATTAATTGAGTCTTCAAATCTCAATAAAAAGGATCTATGACTGCAGTTTATACTTCTAAATATATACTTACAAAACTGAGAAAATACATATTTTCACATTTAACACTGTAAACTTTGGGGATAGCTTTTAGCCTCACCCGTCAAAGAGTAAATAAACAACTGAGCCATGTTGACTGATTTTTGACCAAATCAACAATGATCTCCAATCATTAGTTTCTATTATCTAGGCAGTCTACACTTTTCTATACAACTCAGATCAAGGAGTTAATAACTTTATGAATTAGTGTGACATAATTAAATGTTCATATTTGAATAAACTCTCTTGGATAACATTCTACAATTATTCAACGTGTAATAATTCTCAACATATTGAGATGCTTGTTACGTGTATGAAACATTTTTTTATGTTTATGTAAAACAAATAACTATTTGCACATATTAGTGAAATTAAAGCTAGGCATAATATTTCTTTTAGGCATGCACTGAGAAGACTACTCGGGGACATCACGCGCCAGGCCAGTCACTCGAGTGGAACCCAGATGGGAAACGACGAGTTGGACGTTCGAGAGTGACATGGAAATCGTGTGAGGAAGAAATGAGAGCCAGGTTCAAAAGATTGCAGAGAATAGAGTGCAATGGAGGCGTGCTGCTGAAGCCCTATGTTTCACTAGGAACCCAAGGGACAAATAATAGTAATAATATAATATTTCTTAAACCCTTCTTCTATCAGACTTTTCTTTTCATTTACATATTTAGTATTTTGCGAATAAAATCATAGTGTAATTCAAAAATTTAGACACTATGATAGAGTTTAATTCCGTATCAGATAAGTCTACTTGACATAGCTTTGTATTCTATATCAGATAGACTAATCTTATCCACGGAGAATACGCAAGTTGAGTCCGGTTTGTTCCTTAGAAGCATAAATTTCGATGTAATATCAACATATTTAAAAAAAATCAAAACAAAGTTCTCCTGAATATTTTGCTATTTGTGCTACAGCTACTTCGGTCTGGATGTTGATAATTTAATCGAATATAGCATAAAACGGAAACTTTGTAATGTTTTCAAATGACTTGATGATTCTTATTTTAGTTGTATTGTGTTCTGTGAGCTAGCTTGTTTAATCGTGGAGCTTTCATCCTCTTGCTAAACGACACCATCACCACCAACTTCAGTTTGCAGTAACCTGTCAATATCTCTCCATGAGTGATTTAGTAGCTTGCCTTCACAAACTGCTTTGTGATTGGTTGTTTCCTTTGATTCCTGTCCCATTGACTGACTACATAGATTTTCCTGTTGGCTGTCACTCTGTTTGACCTCTCACCTTTCTGTCCTTTATCATTTTTCTCATTAACTGATACATTGCGTTTATGTCTATACATCTATTGATTGCTGATTGAATGCCAAGCTTCTAAGAATTCTCTGATATTCTTTGTGTTTCCTTTCCCCGTCCAAGATTTCTACATTGTCAAAATTGAATTCATGTCCATAATTATCTACACAAATTGATTCTTATCTTCTCAAGCAAGAATACTTAAGTGTCTATGCTTAACATTTTTATGATAAATTAACTCCCAGCACATATCATTTATTTTACTGGACTGCTATGTAGCTGCATTATCATAGAACTATGGTTGCACTACAGTGGTAATGTGCTGTAATTCAACTTGGTACATGTATTTAGGTATTAGGCTATGAGATACACTACTGATGCGTTTCTATGATACTATCCGGTTACTAGTGTCGAAGTAGGCAGAGTGGCATGTGAACCTAGAAGCCATTTATTGAGTTGTACAAGTAAGCCTAGTCGCATTTTCATCCACTTTTCTCTGATTCGAAATGAGGATAATGTGTTAATCTTAGAAGTCAACTGTCCGTCCACGGAATTGATGCTTGTTCTGAAGCATTACAAACAGTATAACTATAAAATTTCTTAAATAAAGTGGAGAAAGTCAGCAAAGGTTGATAAATGATTGAAGGGAATGTAATCTATTCACTTCTTTTAGACTGCTTGTTATACAGCACATCATTAATTCTGTGGTAGAATTAAAATCCTAGAGAAGAGAAGTGAAGAGATATCCGGCTGAATCAGTACAAAAATTTACCTACAAATATTGTAATGACTTCACCAGTATCTGTAAATCTTGATGAATATGATACCGCTCTGACTGAAATGATGAGATAAGTGGAATTTACTATCCATAACCGGATAAGTTTTCGGTAGTTGTAAAAAATTGAGAATAGCTAAAAGCTAGTCAAAACCTGTTTATAATGATATTAAATTACTTTTTTCAAACCTTCTTTGTAATGACTCATAGATAAGTATTCACGGAAGTACAAATAACACCTAAGCATCTTATGAACAAGATTCTATTTAAAAAGTTTTCATTACGAAAACATTAGATCAATTCAAAAAGAGAATCTGGTCATTGTTAGACAGTTGAGAAAAGGAGATTTGAATCCATTCAGCTACCCTGTGCACATCTGTGCAGTAGGCAATGAGTTACATCTAGTGTCTTAGGGATAGTGATAGTACCTGCCTGCTCAAACCTTTGTAGGTGGAGCAGTGTTCGAATCCACTGGTCGAAAGTCACCTCCCTAAACTAATGAGCCATAAACCTACTTATTATTATTATCTTATTACATGGTCACTTTGCTCCATTACAAAAAAAAGTCAACCTTAACTCCAAAGAATTTGTATATCTGACCCTTCAGAAGACGAAATTCAACTTGTAAGACTTAAGTTTATCAGAAATGGATAGACCGAGAGATTTGTAGATAAGAATATGAATCAGGATGCTAACCACTGGTCACCTTTTAATGTGGCGAAGAAAAAGATAATTTAGAATTTGGAATCCAAAGGAGATCCAGTAGATAAGGTGCTGAGACATAAATAAATCAAGGCTGTCAAAAGAATGTCCTGCGTAACTACCTATACTAGTCACTCAATGGTGAACACGTGCATGAAAGACAGACTGTTACTGCTAGATACTTCCATATGGATCTATCAAGTCATTTGCTTCCGTGGAACTGGATGTATATGCCATAAGCAGAGACAAATTACTCAATAAGGGTAAACGGAGGTCGATCAATAGCTTCCTTTCACAATGATTAGTTGACAGTGGAAACATTTCTACAAGATTCATTACCAGTAGCCTACATGCTTATCAATATGAAAAAATACCTTCTAAACCTTTCAAAAATACATTACAACTCTGAAAACTGATGGACATAATAACATAGATGGTTCAAACTGGCACACTTTACAACAGCAAATGATGAGAAAAATGGAAGAAATAAAAATATATTAGGAGAAACAGGGAAGATATAAAGTGAGTAGGACACTAGATCCACAGTAATAAAACATCCAAGCAATATCAGAAGATAAAAAATAAGTTCCTCTACGCCGTTTTGATCAACTATGAGCCATATCACTCTCATGATCTCAGATCGTTGATTTTTACCACCATGTGAGAGAGGTCTTTACTTTTCTGTATTTCACAAAGTGTCACTAAGTGATTTCCTGAGCTAGTGTTACAGTTTCTCCAAAGTGCCATTAGTCTGCATTGATCAACGAACAGAGAAATAATATTGTATATTTTCACACAAAAGTATATAAGTTGAAGATGGAATACTACTCAAGAGCAAAGACTACAAAAAAATATAGGTCAGCGTTACTGCAGTCAACTCCAGAAGTATACTGTCTGGGATAGGCAAATAGAAACTGTTACACATTTCGAAGACACTAACTAAAAAGTATAACTTTTGAAATATGATGATAAAACGACAGTTATTAAGCTTAGGAATTGGTTTGGATAACCTTGGCTTTTAAGCAAACAGATCCTATGTACGCATCTCGTATTAATTATTATGTGCCAGTTGATAGAGTATACCGAAAGTTGTCAGAGATTCAATCAAGCATTTTATCCATTTGGCCTCCATAATAATTTGCAATTTACGACTCATGTTTTCTTTTCAAAGTCACTGAGATAGTATGTAGTTTTTATACTTTGTTACAGTAAACATTAGTGCATACCATATTTCATTTTTGTTATAAAATGATTTTAAGGTAATCAACTTCTAGTTTGGTTGTAACCATTTCTTTTCAGTCGTCACAAGAATTCTAAAGAATTCCGGAGACATTTTCAAATATCTAGGTATGCTGTACCAGAAATAAAACTAAGCTAGTTCAAACATATTACTTTATATCATTTTGACTGCCTGCGATAGCCGTGGTTTGGTAGACTAGTATTTATACTAGGTGATGATTGAAGGTGAAATAAAAATTTCGATCGCCGCCGGATTCGAATCAGCGACCACTGGGTTTCCAGTCCACTGCTCTACCAACTGAGCTGACTACGAGACCCGATTGCCAATCAGATTTTTATTTCAGTCACCAAGGGTTTCGGCCGACTTTCATGTAAATCCGTGGCGCGTTACTACGACTTGATCATACTCACATGGGTTGCCTAGTCAGGACTTCTCATCCCAATCCAAATGTAAGTGAATTAGAGAGGGGGAGGCATCATATTGATTATCATTTTGCCTAGCTGAGATAGTCGTGGTTTGGCAGCCTAGTATTTATAATGGGTGATGATTGAAGGCGAAATGAAAATTTGGACCGCGGCTGGTTTCGAACCTTCAACCACCCCGTAGCTCAGGTGGTAGAGTATCGGGCCGGAAACCTGGTGGTCGCTGGTTCGAATCCACCTGCGGTCCAAATTTTCATTTCGCCTTCAATCATCACCCATTATAAATACTAGGCTGCCAAACCACGACTATCTCAGCTAGACAAAATGATAATCAATATGATGCCTCCCCCTCTCTAATTCACTTACATTTGGATTGGGATGAGAAGTCCTGACTAGGCAACCCATGTGAGTATGATCAAGTCGTAGTAACGCGCCACGGATTTACATGAAAGTCGGCCGAAACCCTTGGTGACTGAAATAAAAATCTGATTGGCAATCGGGTCTCGTAGTCAGCTCAGTTGGTAGAGCAGTGGACTGGAAACCCAGTGGTCGCTGATTCGAATCCGGCGGCGATCGAAATTTTTATTTCACCTTCAATCATCACCCAGTATAATTATTACTTTATAAACTGTACATTGAAAATACTTCAAGAGCATGTGTATGTAGGGCAAAGAAAAAATGCCTGGAAATTCTACAGGATAACCAAAAAGAGAGCATGAAAAAATTACAAAATGTAGTACAATGACAACAAGAACAGAGGACTAACCTGAAACCATCGTTTTCTTCTTTCATCGGCATCCACACTGTAGGCTTTAACAGTTGGTGTGGTTGGTTGACGCTTGATTTGCGACCTGATAGTCTCTGCATTATCACCGCCAACGCCACTATTGTATGGATTTTCCCATGCAACATTTATAAACTGAGCCATTGGAATAGTTCTATTAGTATTCATGTTAGTAGTATGAGTATAATTATTGTCATTTTTATCTTTTTGATAACTGCTACCTTCTTCAAATGATTTTGATAAACCTGAGGAGATATTACTGTTGAAATTTCCTGCAATAGTGGCAGCTGTAGTAGTTATATGATCACTTTGACAAGAAATTGTACGCATTGATGAATTTTCATCCATACAATTAGTAACTGAACCTGTTCCAGGAAAAAAAGTTCCACCATCGTATCGATGAAGGCTTAAATAAACCAGACCAGGATGAGTTGCAGCTAGTTTAGTCCCATTGCCATGATGTATATCCCAGTCAAGGACCAGTACTTTTGAGACAATATGTTCACGGAGTAAATGCAGTGCAGCTATTGCGACAGAATTAAAATAACAAAATCCCATGGCTTGATCTGGTTCCGCATGATGACCCGGCGGACGGACTATAGCGAACCCATTACGGAATTGACGTTTAGCCACTCTGTATGAAATAAACAGTTTGTGACAGATAAGCAAATGAAAACAAGGTGAACTATTTAAACATTGGTGCTAAAGAAGATGTTCAGTGGTTAGAACAAAGTCTTAAACAACCAAAATAAAACTAGTTACTGTAAGCAGTATGGAAGGATGTACGTATCTTTGAAGCAAGAAGTGTCGAGGAAAGACAAACAAGCAGGTATAACATCTGTTGGGAATAAAAGTATCTATTTGGGTTTGTTATGTATGATGCTTAAAAGTAGTCAGTGTTAAAAGTCAGAATTTCTATAAATGATACTTTCTCTTACCAGTGGAATAGGTAGTAAAGTAAAATAACCCATACTACTAATCGACAATTTGTTACAAGCTAAAAATAAACTTGCATAAAAAGTCCTACAGTGAATAGTATCAACATTAATAATAAATCAATACCATTAGTTCTCTTTAAAGTAAAGTTCGATGTTAGATGATTGACGGTAGCAATCGGCAGGAACCTTTGTTCAACCTAGATCTCGTGTTTGCCGGTACTCATTAGCAAGGCATATCCGCGACGACTTAAATTGACTACTGGAGAGTAAATTCATTTTGTCAAGTTTTCACCACTGACTGAATTCTACCGGTCATTTTGTACTAAGGGCGCCGAGCTAGGAGACCAAGCATCAAGATCCATTTGTATTGGTGTCAGATAGTTGGAGACAGTCAGCAGGAAGTCGTATACCTGAGTTTTATGCTTGCTGGCAATCGTCAGCAAGGCGTATCTGCAATCTCAATGGGACTGGTGAGGATTTTAATTCGAAACTCTTCCTGCCGGCTAACTTTTAGCATCTAACACTAAGAAACATTACACTGATTGGAGTGTTGCATCATCTAGCTTAGCGGCAATATTGCAAAGACTTGATCAATACACTGAGGACTAGATGGCCCCACATTCAATATCCATAAGTAACCGATTCGCGCATAATTCACCAATGTGTTAATATTACATAATCCACGTAAGATGAAACTAAAAAGCATAAAAACATTTTCCGTGCACCATTTACACTGAAGCTGACTAACGCATCCATAATATGTATCATATGATGGCTGGTTGAAAAATTGACAGCAGAGTAATGGAGATTTGAACACGATAAATTGTATACCTTTGTAAATTATCTTTTTTTTTAATGTAAAAAATGGAGGCAATCAAATATCTGATGAAGGAACAACCTTTTTTTAGGTCTAACTTATCAGAAAAAAATCATGGGTTGATGTTAGAAAGTGACAAGGAAGATAAAGCTTAGCACGTGCACATTGCTCAAACCTGTGTAAACAATATATAGACTAAAAATAACAAAACAAAGTATAGCATTTCAAGAGAAGAAGAACAATCAGATTTAAAAATGGCGCTAAAATGGAGCTATTTGAAATTAGCAAGGGACTCCCTCAGCGGTAAGCACCTGATGGGGTTTTTGGTTGTTTACTACTAAGGAGTCCAGTGCTGGGATGAAACAACTGGTCAGTGCTCCAAGGTTTTCAATGGCTTTCCGAATGATATCAATCTATGATGAATATTACCTCGTAATTGAAATTCCTATCCACCTCAAGATATATAAATAATCATAACAAGGATACGGATTGTGTATTTTCGAATAAAGTTAGCGGTAGCATGAAGGATAATACGAATGCTCAGAACGACACGTTAATGTAGACTGGTATTCAGACAGACAAAATAGATCAAAGCTCGGGAAAGGACAATAAAGTTGTGTTATACTGGAGGATGAAGGCAGTGAATAACTAAAGTTTGAATGTGAATGTGTGAAAGAGGTAACAAAAAACAAAATAAAAAGGCGAAGTACATTTTAAAATTCATAATTAAGGTCGTTCACTAAGTTTTCCTTGGTCAAAGCAAGAATAGAGGCTGTACAAATTTCTTTCGAACACAGACCGAATTGTTTATTTGAATCCCTATAGCGTCAGCTATATTTAAAAGGCGAATTCGAACTCCATCAGAAAGACTAGGTGGGATGCGGTAAATCACTTAGAACGTTTTCACCTCATCTATTCGGTGACCGTTATCAACTCGAGGCGACAAAATAGAGCTTTGTATACATTTAAACTGTCCTGCTAAAAATAATTTTATTGATACTGAGTGATGATTAAATTTGAAATGAAACTTTAGGCCATGGAAGGATGCTAACCAAGGACCACCGCGTTTCCGACCGGGTGCTTGCATGGCAGTTGAGGAACACCCTTAGTGATTGAAGTGAAATAAAAGTCCGGTCAGCAATAATATCTTGTAGCTCAGCTGGGTAGATCACAGGGCAAGTAACCCAGTGATCCACGGTTCGAATCACATAACGACCCGAATTTTCACTACACCTTCAATTATCACCCAGTATCAACACAAGTTCGCAAAACTACAGCTATCTCAGATAGTGGAGATGATAATCAGTAATTTTATTATTTTAAAGTATGCTTGTTATTGGTATAATTGTTTTTATATCATACCGTCGTTCATTGGACCGATTTGATCAGTCTCTATTGGCATATGAGCTCCTATGAGGAAGCCTCGACATTACCTGTGCTTTAATGATAGTAATAGTGGCTAGCAGCGGAATCCAGGATGCGCATTTCGTCCTATTTGGGACTCGTCAGCTGGGTATACCTGCTTCCCGGTGAGTGATGTTGTTCCCACTGGGACTCGGGCTCGGGAGCGATCGCTTCAAATGCCAGAGCGTTACTCACTACACCAAAAGAACAATTACACTAAAAACCATAACCATGGCACAAGAAGTGGCTATCGTGGCTGGGTGGTGTAGTGGATAACGCTCCAACGTTTGAAGCAATCGCTCCCGAGTCCGAATCCCGGTGGGAACAACACCACTCCTTGAGGAGCAGGTACATCCAGTTCACGAGTCCCAAATAGGACGAAATACCCATCCTGGATTCCACTGTTAGCCACTATTCATCATTACTATGCTTGTTATTCGTTGACTCACAAATTACTGTTATTAGTAAATAATTATAACGGTGAATACCAGATGTATTGGTGTTATATAAAAATTCAAGAAATGTTTTACAGTGTAAAATATACTTAATTTTAAGGGATTTAAACATCAGTAACAACTTTTCACAAATGAATCAAAGATGAAAATGAACTTGATTAAGATAAAAGGTCAAATGCACACACACACACACACACACACACGGAGAATAATGATAGTAAACATATCCATCTGAACTCTTAAGCCATGAAAAGAATGCATTCAACTTCACCACCAGTGTTCAATAAATTATTTTAATAAAATAAACATTTTGTAATTTAAAGATCAGTAAGACATCGAATAATCCAAGAAGTCTATTTTGATACTGTTCATAAGAAATCTCGTAAGTTTTCAATCCAAACAGGACTAAGTTGAGAACATACTTTTCATCACGGAATGACATCAGCTGGAAAATTGTTGAAAACCTGGGATAGCTGGACAGTTGTTTTGGTCCACTTCGGGACTCTTCAGCTGCACCCACCAACAACCCCACCTCATCAGGGGTCGAACTCAGGACCTTCGGGTTTCACGGCGAACACGGTAACCATTCAATCGCTCGGTCAGAGTTCAATGATTCACCGTTCTCAACTGTCGATTTGTGATATAGCGCGACTACCACCCAAGGTTTTCAAACAGCAACATAATGTTTTGATATTGACTAATTTACTCCAGAAAAAAACGCAATGAGTATGGAAAACTTAGCACCATTTCAAATGCTTTTGTTTGACATGTTTTCAGCTTACAACATTATGTACTGGAACTGACGTCACTGGTCATTATTCCATCCAAACAGTGAGTGAAATTACAAAATTTTGAGCATAGTTTCATGTATTGTAATATTTTTAATCTACAGCACCACATTAAGCTTACATGCTGGATACCGGGGTAGTGAACTCCAATTAACGTCACCACTGACAGTGACGACTATCAAAAGAAGTTATTTATAGCTCGAAAAATTAGTATATGATGAGTTCAAGTATAGGGTATTGAGACGATGACATGAAGACGGCTTCGTTTCACTTATAAAATAACGAAAGTAATATAACATATTTAGTTACAAGTGTAAGTAGAAAAAAGCTTTCGTGCCTATATCATAGAGAGTTAACAGATCACAGATGTTTAGTCAACCCTTTCCTAACTACTTCTTATTTTACCAAATAAAGTTAAATACAATAACGATGCATTTAATCTTTTAGAAACAATTCATATACTCTTTACACTAACGAAAGGTTTCAAATAATGATCGATAGTGGCTAGCAGTGGAATCCAGGATGCGCATTTCGTCCTATTAGGGACTCGTCAGCTGGATGTACCTGCCTCCCAGTGAGTGATCTTTTCCCCGCCGGGATTCGGACTCGGGGCGATCGCTTCAAACGCCGGAGCGTTACTCACTACACCATCATCATTATTGCAACTAAAAACTTAGGTAATATCGAGGGATCCGAATAGAAGCCCATATGCCAATGGAGACCGATCAATTCGATCCAATCAACAATGGTATAATACAAGCAATTCTACTGAAAGGTTTCAAAGTTACATGTTAAAAAGCCGAACCTAAGAAATAAAGATTCGAAGAGCTGTTAACATGAAACAGGAAAAGTTAGCATAATGTTTTAACATATTAAAATAGATAATAACGATAACAAATTCTGAGCGATGATTCAAGGTCGGATTCGAACTAGCGACCACAGGCTATCTTAAATGGTCAAAATGATGATCAATATGACACTCCATCTCTCTAGTTGAGATAGATTTGAATTAGAATGAGAAGTCTTGACTTGGCAGCTAGTATGAGTACGATCAAGTGATAGTAACGCATCACGAATTCACATAGTTATCGGGCAAAAGCTTTGGTGATTGGAGCGAAATAAAAATTTGGTAAGCAATCGGATCTCTCAGCCTAGTTGGTAGATCATCGCACCGGGAACCCGATAATTGCTGGTTCGAATCCAGCCATGGTTCAAATTTTCATTTCATTTTCAATCACCACCCAGTATCAATTGTATGCATATCATGTGCAATCCTAAGCATCGAAGTGGTTACGACACAAAAAGTAAAACTATAAATATGCTAACCTTAAGAATTCCAGTTTACATTCTTTCTATACTGTTATAATAACGCAGTCACAATACACCAGAGGCATGAATAAGTGTACAACACCCGAGGAATAGATGAGATGGATAGAATAATCCCTCAAAATAAATAGAATTCAACTGATCACAGATGAAATCAGTGTTATATAATTGTTAATAAGAAGACAAAAGCGAAATCAAGTTTAAAGATGTATAACGGGTATTTGTTTCCCCACGTTCAATTTCCTCAGGTGCAAAGCTTACGACATCAATTTAGCCATCATTTTTCAAGCACTTTCATAAGAAAGAATAATCAGTTTACTAACCGGAAATGCATAAAAATTAAAGACTTGAAGATGAATCCGAGATTTATTGGTTTAGATGTTCAAATAGCGAGTAGCGAGTAACCAGTTGTAAACATGCCCAACCAATCGCAATGTGAGCAGTCAGATTGTGTCATTAGCTCATATAAAACATATGCATGGCACATAGCCAAACGTAACGATAAAATACACTTTATTAGTTTACAAGCTGATTGGCTGATACAACTTATTATTATATTTTTACGTAGACTTCCTTACAGTGCATGAATTATGCCTACTAACAAGAAATAAACACCATACTTTAAACGTTTCAATAGTTCATAGCACCACCAACTAAGTGATATAATACCAGGGCACTTATTATATTGCTATAATGGTAATGATTGATTCAATTATCCGTTTGTCAACGTGTTGTTGACATATTAAAGAATACGGTGTAAAAACTGTTATTTGTTACTTCTTTATCAATACCTTTAAAAAATGTTTGTTTTGATCATTCAACAACAAATAACTAAAGAAACTAACTGCTCGAAGCGCCTATTTCGTTGATAATTTTCAGTAATTCAATTTACTTTCAAGTATTTTAAGCTGAAGGGATCAGGTGACTGGAAAGAAACCGACAAACCAAATATTTACTGCAATAGAAGTTTTTACAATATGTAATCATAGATCCTTAACAGTGTGATCTCACTCATCAAATATATGTCCATATAGCGTTTCAACGTAGCCTTCAATTTCACCAATATAACAAGAAAAAACAACACAACCATTCTTAAATATTAAACGGTAAGAGTCACTAGTATTCACACAAATTATACCAATACAGGCTAGTTAATACTCAGTCTAAACAATCGAACTCTCTCGGCAAACATGTAGATCACTATGTACTGAGCAATGGACCATACCTGTTGTGTGAGGGTTACTAATAGTACCTGGTCATAGAAACCTCGGTAGGAGAAGCAGGGTTGGGACCTATGCCAAACAGAATCACAGTTAACTGTCGTAATCAATTAACCAAAGCTTCAGTTTGATATGTTGTCATGTATCTCTATGCTGTCAGCCAAATAGTGTTCATATGTATTAGCGTCAATGGGTGGGGAACGTAGAAATAAGATTTAGAATTCCAAGTAAAAGTTATTATATCTATAAAGTTACACAACTGCATCGTGTAAAGCAACTGAAATGAATCACTTCTTATGTATAGTACAGTTTACGTGGACATGTGATGTTGACTGGATTAGGAGGAGGTTACACAAGGCCAAGTAAGAACATCAGAACGACTGAAGCCATAAGAAACACTAAGTATTGAATTCTGACTATGAGTGAAAACATATATAATTATTGATAAAGACTTCCTAGGATAGTAAATACAGATGACTGAACACTTTAGACAACCAGATAAGTTGTCCAAATGCAGTCATAACTTGTTGGGTACGGAATTTTGTTTCACTGATATTCGTAATTTCCCTTGGCTAAACTCGGTCAAACTGCTCAAACTTTGTTGGCAGATACTCGATACTTCTCGATTACTCATTTTGTTGTAAATTACTCGGTGACTAGCACTGGGATTCAGGGTGCGCGTTTGGTCCCATTTTGGACTCATCAGCCGGATGCACCCGCACCCCAGCATGGGCCTGAGACCCAGTCTTCTTGCTCCAGTGGATAACGCTTCGGCGTTTAAAGCGATGAGTACTGGGTTCAAGTCTGAGGAGTGCAGCCATATCCAGCTGATGAGCCCCAAATAGAACGAAACACACGTTCTGGGTTCCATTTCTAGCCACCAGGTAGACTACAATATAATGAAGCTTGTTTCCTGGTATTTTGTAGATGGTCTTTTAAAATAGAGTCATGCAACTTTATCAAGAGAACAAAATGTATGGGATTCATCATAAGAGTAGGCGGAATCAAACATAATATGACGAGAAATCTGTAGCCAAGTATGCAAATAATCTCGATTTACTTAGGAAAAATTCACTCACACACAGACATATCTACGAAAGAATCGATTATTTGTACATTGTCAACAACATCGAATCCACTTCGGGATTTATTGGCTTAATACGCTACAAAAAGCTGTTTTGCATATTGCTTCGATTCATTATTTAAGAATACAGCTAGTATTTTGGTGAATATTCCTTTCAAGGATTTCCAATCCCAGAAAACTAACAAACATAAGAAACACAGCTGAACATAGCCCAAATCAATGGTAAAATTAGTGAGAGGAAAAAACAGGAATTTATTTTTCTATTTTGCTGTGAACGTTTTGTTTCTTCGTTTATTATGACAATGAGTTTTCGAATGGGAGAAGTGAAGCATGACAAATTTATACATAATTCTGGGTGAGAATGAAACTGGTAATCATAACTAAGTTAATGGTGAGCGGTGTAGTGTAGTTGATGTTCAATATAATAAACAATGAGTGACAGAAGTAGTAGAACATCGACCATTGGATTCTAGTCCAATGGCTCAATGGTACTATTCTGGTCGCGGAACTTGAAGGTCCCACGCACGATCACTGGAGGGATCATAGGTGTGTACTGCTGAGTCCCAGACAAGGATGAAACAGCTATCCAGTACTCCCAGATTTCCAATGTTTCTCCGATTGATGTCAGTCCATAATGAATTCCAACTTGACATACAAGAATGCTGAAGATAATAAAACTACTTGTCTTTCTGTTTAACAGACTGCTTAAAAGTGTTGACCGATATATTTTTACAAGCTATGGAAACGATAGCCTAACACCCACAACAACAACAACAAAACTCGAATCACAGATAGATTCAAATCGGTAACTAACCCCATGTTATATCACCAGGCCTATAAAATCTGATTTCAATGCGAGTTCAATTATTCAATCCTGTGTTCTACTAAATATTTCAGCCAATAAACTATTTAGAAATTAACGTAAGCTTCAAAGGTTTCAATTAGATAGAATAAAGTAATTGATACAATTAAACAAAATGCAACCTCTTATTTGAAACATTCCATACCATTTCAACAAGGGATAGAAAAGTGAAAGACAATTGAACTCACTGATGTGCAAGGCATAATACTTGACCAACAGCTAATCGAGCAGCACGAGCTGTTTTGCATGGATTCCAAACTGTATCTGAATCTACGCCAACACCACCACATGTTAATGAACATAAACGTTTTGATAGGCTAGTTCTAGTACAAGAATCGAATAATGACAATCCATGATCATCAATAGTTGTAGATCTAAAGGACGATGGATCATCTGAAGATATGGATCGTGGTCGGTTGTCATTATTATTATTATTCTTTTTAATAATATTTGTAGATGGCGTTTCACTTGAGATAATTGGTATAGATCCAAATGCTTGAACATAATCAGGTGAGTGAAATATGCGTAGTTCATCCTAGAAATTTGAAAAGTAGACGATGATACGAAGTTTAATAAAGTATCAAACACTGTGATGCAATGAAATGAAAAACCCTTAAGTGAAGACAAACAATATAGATTTATCTTTCTAAAACTTAGAAATAAGAAGGTTGAAGAACAAGTATTCAAAATCTGTTGTCGAACAACAACAACAACACACGTGTTCCTGTCAAAAATGTTGTTATGAATTAAATTATCATTTTGACTATCTGAGATAGCCATGATTTGCCAGACTAGTAGTTATACTAGGTGATGATTGAAGGTGGAATGAAAAAGCTGGACCGCGATTAGACTCGAACTAGCGATCACTGGGTTTCCGGTTCGATGCTTTACCAACTAGGCTACAAAGTTCGGTCGCGGTCCGAATTCTCACTTCAGCCACTACCTAGGGATAAAAGTTATGAATTAAAAAAAGTGAAGACTGTATGATTTTTACATGTTTGACAGATAATAATTGGGGAATGATAAAGTGAACTTATGACTACAATCATAATGATAATGACAATAATAATAATATTGAAAACCATGCAGAAATTCGTGTACTGAACAATTTCATACCCGTAACTTTAAGTCTGCCGTAACCTTTGTTGGTATTATCAGTCCCCAAGTCATAGAAGTTGAATACCTAAGATGATGAGATACAGCTCTAGTTATCAGCAATTTTTTTAACATAGAACCAGATATTACTCCACTAAGGGTCCAAGTTGCCACACCTCATATCAGCACAACAAGTAACAAAGCAATGAGATAAAAGATGAAGAAATAGGGAGGAGTTGGTCAAAAGTAGTAGTAAGTAGTAAAAGAGAGGAAGAAAGAATGAGAAAGTCCTGAATTCAGAATGCCGATTAAGTTGTAGACAATATATGGATACATCTGGGTCACTGATATCGATTCACAGCCACATCACCTAGAGTCTCGATCCACTAGTTTCTGTTGCAGTGTGAACTCCAACCGGCTAGTCTACATGTCCCTATTCGCCTTAAAGCGACAATCAAAAACTTGTATTGATGCCGTGTTTTATTCTGACCACCCAGAGAGTATTTTCAACTTGAACCTATTTCAGCTAAGATTGTGCAATGAGCCGGACAGTAACTTGGCATGCATATCACATGTCACAACCAACTCAGTCGATGAAGGTTCACAACCTCATCAACTGACCCACTTCTCTTCTCCAAAAATCGACACCTAACTTCTGCGTTTCTCATGTAGCGACATCATGGCCTATACTACAAAGGCAGTGGTGGTCGAATACCTGAAGCCTTCCCATGTTCTCCACCTTTAATGGTCATATTTCACAACCATATAGGAGAACAGAACCAACTGAAGCACAATAAGAACCTTCTCAAAACTGACCATACGAAGTGTAAACAAATCAGGTGATATTTAGTCTATCTTAGTCCGCTTCATCAGTGATAAGTAGAGCTTGGTGTTAGTACATTCTCACTAAACACCAAAGTTATTTTCTGAAAATCGGTGAATAATTAACCAATGTTTAGGTAAGTGTGAACAAGAATGGCAATACGGAGGCGTGTTTTATGATGCACAGAAGGCAAACGACTGTAACGGTCTATGTCCTTTTTTCTTTTGGTAATCATTGCGACTATAAACCTACAAATAAGAGATAAAGACAAGTACTGAGTTCTGAGGGATTTCCATCATCAGTCAGTAAAACATCGAAGAGTTGGGAATACTGGACTGCTGTTTTCTCCTTGTCTTAAAAACATTGAAAGTGTGCATCCACGACCATCAAGTCCTACGGTGACTATATGGTCACTCGGTCATGGGGTTGGAATCCAGTGTAGTTTACGGTTTTTGAATTATGTTGATTTGTGGTACGGCGCGAACATAGTCTAATACCTTCATTAAGTGCTTGTCGTCACACCTGACTTCAATGATTCCACATATCACGACTTCTCACTAGAACTTCGGAAGTCTGCCTCAAAGCAAGTCAGTAAGGAGCATCTGGTTATTATTCATTTTGAATATTTGTTGAAAATTGTTTGGTTTCAGGGGGTTTTCACAAAGGACTGTAGAAAACCTGGGTCCATTCATGGAGGATTCTTTTATCTCGTTTTTGTATGTGTTACTGCTGTCACGGTAACCCGAACCAGCTAGTCTGCGTGTCGCTATCTGGCGTAAAGCAACAATCAAGAACTCCGTACAGTGGTGCCATGTTTTGATCTGACCACCCCGAGTGTTTTTCTAGCCTGAACCTACTTCAGGCAGACGATGACTAGGCATGTGTGACACATACTCCAGCCATCTCAGTCGATCAGGGTTCACAACTGACTTTCCTCTCCTCTTTAAAACCCTACACCTGGCTTCTGAATTACTCATGTAGTGACACCAAGATACACCACGGCCTGTGCTACAAAGACAGTGGTGGTCAAATATCTGAAGCCTTTCCATGTCCTCCACCTTTAATGGCCATGTTTCACAACCATAAATTAGAACAAAGCGGACTGCAGCACAGTTTATTCGACCCTTAAGAGAAAATTGAATATAGCGGCGGAACCACAGATGGTGTGCGTTAGCGAAAGCCAATTGAGTCTATTCCATCTATGCAGGTATTTCGTCGACCATAATCTACATCTCTACACTAGATAGGTGAGATAGTGTGGAACTGTGATACGACACGAACAGAAAGCATGTTGTTAGCGGTGAACGGTTCATGCTTATAATTGATTAATGTATTCATTTCTGAAAAAGGTAACTCAGGAAGCATGTTATCATATCTTTTTATCATCATTTTCATACACAAGACATCTGGAAGAAAAAGCTAAATGAATATTTCATTTGGCTTTCTTTAAATGCAGTTTCTAATGCTACGGCTTTCGGGTGGAAGGCAAAAAGTCTTCTCCAAAAGAACAATAGATAAAACCGATTTGAATTACGTGTATGTATATAAACAGATGTTTAAGGTTGTATGATAATAACCGGGTTCTATATTTTCAGTCAGTTTTTTTTAAGCATCAGCGTATACAGTTTTCATTCAATTTACAAATTCCTGACCTTAAATAAAAAAATATATACCTTGCAAATGAACGACTAATAAATAAAAACCCACTACTAAAGTGACCAAACAGATAGAGAAATATCGGCTTATTTTATCTCGACTAGAGAGAGAGAGAGACAGAGAGACGAAGAAAAAAACACAGAGAAATCCAAAAATACTTCATCATCAGAAAGCGAATATACAAGAAAAGATTTGTTTCACCACTAATAATAAACATGAAATAACCAAAACAGATACGTGTGTCTTTGTAATTAGGAATACAGAACACTTGGTTTAACACTGGTACAGACTGGTATGACAAAAAAACTAAGCTAAGCCATTACACAAATTCTGAGAGAAATGATTGAAATACTTGTTCTTTGAAGTCCTACCATCACAGGACGATCAACAGAAAAAAAAAGACTGAAGAAAGCTATTTTCGTACTAAATACAGTTACTTCTCGATTCGAATATGAAACAAAGTACCACTGCTTTTTCTACTAGTGTTTTGACAGTAGTAAGGTGACCAGTATTGCCACTAATCAAAAGCTATCACACTAAGGAAGAGAAGGTGGAAAAGGTCTGTTTCTAGCATGACACAACTCATCAAATTTTAGGAAGATTCTTTGTCAAAGGTAGGGGTTTTTTGATGCAGAAAAAGAACCTGTGCATGAATATGTACATGATGAGGTCACAATAAATTTGTAGGATGTCTATAAACAAACACATGCTATCAATTTAGTTGAACGGAACGATTACCTTAACTCAATCTCTTAAGATTGTTTTCGTTTCAGATATAGTTAGGAGATAAAATCCTCTTTGGTGCAAGGAGTAACGATCCTTTGTCTAAAAATCCTAGCACAAGGATTCCTATACATACCACAAATGGTAAAAAGAAACTAGACTTACTCTACACATATTTTTTATCCAGAAGTATATGTATCATCTGCTAGGGTAAAGACATAGTACTTTAGCTATTATCATTATGAGAAAACAAAGTGAATAGTGTTTTTGTAAACAGTAATACAAAAGAGGCAATATAATGCGTTTTTACGAAGTTCTGTTTGTCAAATAACCCCAGTTCACCGGAATAAATAGTTATTTTATGAACCAAAGGTGAAGACGTTTGACTTTGATCCCTTTTTATCGAACAGTACATTGGATTTTAAAAGATAAGCTTGCAGACTGGTACAGCATTAGATTTATACAAACCAGATTTCATTATTCATACAGAAAGGACAGATAACAAATGTCTAATTCCGTATTAGATTTGTTTATTTGGTTTATACTGGTGATGAGTGACGGTGAAATGAAAATTTGAACCGCGGCCAGCTTCAAACCAGCGACCACTGAGTTCCCCGCCCGGTGCTCAGCAGTCGGACCTCGTAGCTCAGTTGGTAGAACATCGGGCCGAGAACCCGGTGATCACTGGTTCGAAACTGGCGGCGGTCCAAGTTTTCATTTCACCTTCAATCACCACCCAGTATAACTACTAGTCTGGATTGATCTCACTAGGGTCTGTCATTCTATACTTAGCTAAATTTCCATGTTCCACTATTCTGACTGACCCTGATCAGCCAGACTAGTTTCACCTATGTACCTGACCTCACAGTCATCAAATGGAATTTCGTAGATTAGATTATTTGGCCTTATTGGTTCTGTCGGATCCTAAAGTCGACGAAGTTTGTAGGTTTAAATGCCACCTTAATTCCAGCCTCGTTGAGAATCTTACATAGGGTTTCTGATGTTCCTTCTTTATATGGTAACATAATAGAGGCTGTAAACTCCTTTCCGTTCATGTTGTCGCCATTATTTGCATTCATATTATTGTTTTGTTTCCGATGTTTTCCTATGAATTTTTCAATAAATTGTGTAGGATAGTTATTAACTATTAATACTTCTTTATGTGCTTCAGTTCTTTGTTAGGTCCTTGCACTGACTAGTCAGTACCCAAATTTCATATTCATAACAAATGCTTATTCCAATTAGTTAGTAACATACAAATCAGAGTTCAACTTGCAGTGATTTAGACCACGAGGTCAATCGGCATAAAGATCAGTTTTTATGAACTTGTAATACAAAAAAATTAGTATGATAATGTGCAAGTTACTCATAAACTGATTCATTTTAGAATATCTTTGGGAATTTTTCTGATGATTGCAGAAATTAATCACAGAAGGGAATATAATCTTGTTCCGCAAGAGGTTAGTCGTGGCCCAAATAGTTCAGTGATAACGTCACTGACTAAAACACTGAATGAAACCGATTTGAACCTCAGAGCGGACATCATTTCCGCCGAAGTTGCAGATATGCCTTGCTGACGAGTGCCAAGAAGCACGAAATCTAGATAAAGCAGGGCTTCCTCTCAATCGCCTCCAACCAACTAGCATCTATCAATGTCCACCACAATGATGAGCTTCAAAGCTTGATGGCCACGTTGCAAAAACGATCAGTAGAATTCGGTCAGCAGTCAAGGCTAGATCATATGAGATTGGTTGCTATCCAGTGATCAGTCAATGAATGTTGAACTCATCACACTATAAATGAGTAATAGTAAGAAAACACAGTAAACAAGATTCAGTTAATCAATTAACTGTACAAAGATAACATACATTAGTAAAAAGTATACTAACCTCTGTAGCCATTCGTGCACGAATCAGACGACAAAACGCCAACAAAGGTAAATGTGTTATCAGAGTTTCTGCTATATCTGGTCGAGTTTGTAAAAACTGACTAAAATCATACTGTAAATCAGGATTATCACACAACACAGTAGTTTTTAAAATTTCAATCAAATCATTTGATGCATTAGATAACATATGTGAGGGGATACGAGGGGATATATGTACAAGACGTTCCAGAGCAAAAGTCAGACGATCTGGACACTCAGGATGAATAGTTGAATCGTGAGCATTAGGACAAAGACACTTGTGTTCAAGCATATCGGGATCAAAAGCTATGGCAGTTGTCAAGCTGCCATTCGTGACACTAAACAAAAAAAGTCAGTCAGAATAAAGGAACAGAATAGAAATAAGCATATATATATATACCCTTTTTGATATCAGTTTAAATAAATAATAACAATCTACCTCAGCCGTGTATAACTTTTGTGTATTAGGCTACGAGTCACACTTACTGTGTGAGGGACTTACAATTCTCTCCCAGTCCAGATTAGGTGAGGCGCGATTTGAGTACGGGACCCTATGGCTGGAGGTAAAAGGATCATTTTACTTTGACACGTTCAAAACTTCAGTATAACCATAACTTTAGTCTAAGATATTTTATATTAAAAAGATATCATAAAGGTTGGATGAAAATTTGGGTTAAAATACAGTCAAGAAATGTAAGTTATTTATTCAACCACCAAATTCACGAAACATTCAGTTTCAGTTTAAGAATGACGATGGAAGCTGCGGACTCCAGTGATTGTCTAGTAGTTTACAGTTTTCATATACTGAATGCTCTAACCTGATAAAAGATATTCATCATCATATTATTTAAATGATATCAAACCACCCACTAAAAACATACGTAAATTCTGCATTCGACTAGGAATCAATACAAACATTGTTCCTCCAACTGATTTCAGTCTACGATGAATAACAACTTGAAATATTTCCAAATCCCCACAACTCCCTCAAAATTCAATTGAAGTGGCGCCCACTGGTAACTAGCTTCGAGAAGTATTCCCGAAGTTCCAATGAGAAGTCGTGACCGGTGGGGGAAAAGCCTGATGGTAGTGAGGACAATTACTCAACGATGACATTGGGTGGCGGCTGCGCTATGTCGTGAGCTAACAGAAGTTGGAAATATGGACGATTGGATTCTGACCCAGTGGCTCAATGGTGACGTGCTGGCCATGGAACCTGAAGGTCGCGGGTTCGATCCCTGGCTGGCGATGTCGTGGGTGCACACTGCTGAGGAGCCCCATACTAGGACGAAACAGTTGTCCAGTGCTTCCAGATTTTCTTCGTTGCTCCAACTGATGTCAGTCTGCGATGAATAACAACTTGAAACTTCAAACATTAAATGACAATATTTCGAGTTACTATTCATCACAGACTGAGATCATTTGGGGAACCAATGAAAACCTGGGAGCACTAAAGTGATGTTTCAGCCTAGTTTGGGACTCCTCAACAGTAGGTAATCACGACCCCGCCTCACCAGGGGTCGAACTCAGGGCCTTCAGGTTGCACAGCGATCACATTCTCTCAAGTTTTCAATGGTTCCCCAATTGATTTCAGTCCATAATGAATACTACTTCAAAATTACAATCTTCATTCATCTCATTATATGATAATAACCGTAACGTTCCACGATCTCAGCCAAAATAATAAAGCAGTACGACTGGACTCACCTGGGATAACAAGATGCAGTTTTTACGTCTGCATCATAAGTTCGAGAAAGCCAGTCATTTTCGGGTAAAGCAGACCAAATATCTGAAGCTAGTTTATGCGGTTGACAATATATACTTGATGAATTTATAACATTATTACTTTTAGAACTATCTACAGTAGAAGCAGCAGTAACAGTCTCAGCAATAACATTAAGGTCACTTCCATCACCATGATTATCAATAACAGTAGAAATAGTACCGACAGGAGTAGATAAATGCTGTAGAGTTATTGGATTCACCTGTGAGTTGTATAGTAAATCCGATTTAGTAGAGTTGACCAACTGACTCTCCCAATCCATTTCACTTGATGTAGAAAAAGAATGAGATCTGTTAGCTGAAGTGATATCATGAGATTCTAAAATATTCGATTGAACTGAAATTATACCAGTGGTCTGATGACACATTTTCACAAGTGCAGATAATGCTAATCAATTTTTAAAAGAAAGAAGAGAAAACCAAGAAAAAAATAATGCAGATATATTTGAAATAACCAAAAATTAAAGAATAATAAAGTGTATGCTAAAGCAAAAAACGTAATCATATTCAACTGAATTCTGAAACAGTCCACTTTTATCCATTTCAAAATATTATCACACAGAAAGTATAAACTAATTGGGGAATTTATCAACTTTTGTAATCATCCAAAGGTGTTGGACACAACACAATCTTTCAGAAAACTTTGGCAAAAGTCAAAAGACAGATGACGCTACAGTAATCATTTGTACAAACTCCTGACGTGAGGGTAGGGAATGGATTTATTACTTCAATCATTCGATAAAATGCATCAGTACTGATGAGTTGGTTGTGAATAACATCATCTAAGAAAGAATATGAGAGGTATGTCTATCATTTGTCAACTTGCGTCACCTATAGAACTGGCAACATATTTGACTACTTATCAAAGCGGGAGTAGGCTGAGCAGCAGATTATTCTGTCAGTAAATGTTTAAATATCAATAGATAGAACACATTAGCGACGAACAGACTGGAGTATGTGTTCTGAACTTTATTTTTACCCACTGAGAAGGCCGACTGGGGACATCACGCGTCAGACCAGTCACTCGAGTGGAATCCCCATGGGAAGCGACGAGTTGGACGTCAAAGGGGGACATGGAGGAGGTAGTGCGAGGAGGAAATGAGAGCTTCTGGGCTGTCGTGGAACCAGGTTCAAAAGATCTCAGAGAACAGAGGTCACTGGAGACGTGCTACTGAAGCCCTATGTTCCACTAGGAACCCAAGGGACTAATAATAATAATAATAATAATAAAATCAAGTGGCTGCAAATGACATTCCTTTTTCCATTGAAAACATGAAATCAGTTGATTAAAAATAAGAGTTCCCTTTCATATGAAGACATCAAAACATTAAGCATTCTCTTGTACCAATTAGAATAAAATCGAGTTTATGTTGACTGATGTTTGTATTCTCCCGTTGCTGTACTGTGTCGAAATGCTCCACCTCAGTTGGCAGATGGGCTCCTATCTGAAGGCCTTGATACTGCCCGACTACTCATTTTGTTGTAAACTACTTGGTGACTAGCACAGGGATCTACGATGCGTGTTTCGTACTATTCTGAACTCATTAGCTGGATGTACTTACACCTGAGTGAGTGACGTTTTTCCCCCTGAGACCTGAACCCAGTACCCATCACTTCAAATGCTAAAGTGTTATCCACTAGGCTGCAAGAGTGACCTATTGTGCAACGGCTATCACACGTCTAGCAATCTCACCTAATATACCGACAAGGAACTACAAGCATTAAACAACAACAACTAATACCCGTTGCACAACAGCTAGTCCTTTTGCCCCAGTGGATAACGCTTTGGCATTTGAAGCGATGAGTACTAAGTCCGAGCCTCAGGCGGAACAATATCACTCGCAGCAGTGCAGGCATATCCAGCTCACGAGTCCCAAATAGGACGAAACACGCGTCCTGGATTCTACTGCTGGACACAGAGTAGACTGCGAAATCAAGCCTAGTTCTCCTGGTAACAACATTCTGATGGTAAACATTTATCATTCCCCATTTCCATTCTCCAGATCACCACAACCACTATAAAATATGCAAAAAATGCAAATAAACATAACGAAAATAGTTTCAAAGGTTTTCGATACAAGCTTACGGAGGAGATGGAGAGTATTTTATTTCTCTAGCCATCTGGAGTCGATAGGCAGAGAAGAAAATATGGCCAGTGAAAAAACGCGCCATCCAAAATAATATACCGTTACGAAGAAATAGAAGGGATTTGGGTAGAAACGAAGGACAAAAGCACGCATACAACTGAGTTATTAAGAAAGCAGTTTCACGAACACATTCATACAAGCGTACACTACTTTCATAGATGTCAACTAGTTGGATGCAATCATCTGGAAGCCCTGCCCGATCTGGATTTCGTGCTTGTCGGCACTCATCAGTAGGGTGTCTGGAACCTCGAGGGATCTGATATCCCCTGTAAGATTCCAATCCGCACCATCCAATGTTTCAGTCAGCGACATTACCACTGGGCTATTCGGGCTGCAACTGACCTCCTGTAGGACTGGATTACATAAATTGATTGGTCACTTGAGATCAACAAATTTCATGTTGTCTGGTCCTGACTGAAGATAAGCCCTGCTGAAGAGTGTCAAGTAAGTCTTCCTATGGATTACCTCCAACCTACTAGCATCCACCAAAGTCCACCGCGATAGTGAGCCTCCTAGATTGGTGGCAATATTGCAAAGTGATGGATAGAATTCGGTCATCACTCAGGACTAAACAACATGAGACTGGTTTTCTTCCGGGGACCCATCAATGTATACCACTTTTGTCTTACTTTTAGATAGTAGATAAAAAACATATTAAACTGCAGCATGATAGTCGTCGGTCCCAATTCTAAGGTAAATCTACTATAATCCTATGACACTGAGTCATCTGGTCTCTTGGACTCCATTCTGAGAGTAGTGAGTCACCAAAGAATGTTAACACGACACAACTATCCTTCATTCCATTGTCCACCATCATACACTGACCACATCTGTAATTTTTCTAAACAATCCCGGTGCAAGCAAACAGTGAACGATTAGGGAGTTGTTCAGATGAAATTCGTAGAATATCTCCAACCCCGTGAATGTGGTATTTTAAGATGACTTCAACGCGATGAATGGCAATATTCGTTATGCCTAAATATATGCCGCCACATATTACAACTGCTTACACGTTGTCTCCACAGAATACGAGCAGTTCTACCGAGATAGGGGTGATCGAACACACAGTCACAGGAATCCCTTACCTCAGAAAGACAAGGATTTACAAGTGTACAGCAGAAATATGTATACCGAGAGAGCAGGACACCTATATAAACTGACATCAAAAGTGACCCCGATTGGTGTATACCCTTCTAGCTTTGGATATTTAATTGGAAGTCTCATCAGTCACACCTTCACTAATATTCACATAGATACACGAAATTTCTGATGGCTTTCGATGGTCCAGGAACGACGATAAGTGAAGTTACAGACTCTTTGCAATCTAGTAAAAGCAATTCGCACTTCTAACGTGCAAAGCACATACCATAAATACAGTTACTGGTCGCCAACTGATCACGTGAAATTTGAATAGCCTATATGTTGTTGGAAAATCTGGATAATTAGAGTGAAGAAGGAATAGTCACTGTTCTCTGAACTATATGAGGTGGAATCGGTGCATAATTGGAAGAGTTGTGTTTCATAATTTATCAGCTAGACAAGTAGGACATTAGAGTTAATCAGCCTCAATCATCAAGGTCTAATAATTAAAAGGTTACTTCTTAATATATAGACTGAGTATTTTTATAGGGAATATATGATATAGGTATTATATACCTTTTTGATAATTTATATCTGCACCAATATTGGACACAGGAAGAGATTCTCCACAATTGACAAGCTGTTTCATATCATCTTCATGAAGATGAACATTATGCTGTTGGCGAAGATGATCTACACAGTTTTCATTCTCTTGTATCTGCGACAGAAGAGAAATATACAAAATGTATAAAAATAAAACGAAGAAAAAAGTGAACCATATTTATTTTTTTCTATGACAGAAATAGGACAGTGTATACCCTGACACTGTACTGCAATGAAAAGTAAGTATCAGTAAAAAAAAAGAAAGTGTTACATATACAACAAAAAGCTTGAATAAACAGCGTTGACGCTTATTTTCACACTGATCAATCATGATAACTTCACTGTATTACCCTAAACTAATATCGAAAGAAAAAAACTTTTAGAAACAAAAGATTAATAAACAGCTTATTTACTCTCATAACAACAACAAGCTCCAATCACTATCAACGGGAGAAACTTAAAGGAAGTAGCCTTTTTCACCTACCTACCTGGGTAGCATCGTTTCGACTACAGGTGGCACAGACAACAACGTCAAAACCAGGATCGGGAAAGCAAGACAGACGTTTATTAGCCTGAAACCAGTGTGGAGATCTGCACTCAGCATGTGGAACAAGATCCCGATTTTCAACACCAACATCAAGTCAGTGCTTCTGTATGACTCAGAGACTTGGCGCGTTACGAAAGGGATTCCCAACAAACTACAGACATTCACCGACAACTGCCTCCTACGCTCACTCCATACAGAAGATCAGATGGCCAGAAAGAATAAGCAACAAGGAAATCTGGCAACGAACTAACCAACAACCTATCGCTCAACAAATATACAGAAAGAAGTAGAGATGGATTGGGCATGCACTGACAAGACCATTCGAGGACATCACGCGCAAGGCCAGTCACTCGAGTAGAATCCAGATGGGAAACGATGAGTTGGGTGTCTGAGTCGAGGGTGATATGGAGGAGATCGTGTGAGGAAGAAATGAGAGCTTCTGGGCTGTCGTGGAACCAGGTTCAAAAGATTACAGAGAACAGAGTGGAATGGAGACGTGCTACTTAAGCCCTATGTTCCATTAGGAACCCAAGGGATAAATAATAGTGATAATAATAATGTAGGGCTATGATAAATGTTCACTGTAGCAAAGTTGATCGATAAGATCATTTCTCATATGCTCATCATATAATATACAAACTAAATAAAGCATGGTTAGGTGTTTGTTTGTAGTTGTGCGTGCATAAAGCTTAATGTATTTGCTTCTTGTTTTCCCTGAGGACAGAAATGGAAAGAAGTGTGGATACAGAGAATGCTTGTCGTCAGATAAAATATTCGTAGCCAGATGTTTACAGGAATTAAGACACCTTTCCACAACCGGCTTTATAAGTACGATCAGTGGTATACCACTCATTCTGGTAACAGCCTTCAGAATTCTACGCAATACAGCATATTCTTTTTCCGTAGTCCATGAAAGAATGAGGAGTAACAATAAGTATAAGCAAAACACAAGAATTAATGAAACTTAAAAGTAGAGTCTGAGCTATGAAAGACAGTTTCCGTTTTCTTATATAAGGGATTTTCCGTTAAATTAGTAAGAATGTGTGGGTGGTTAGATAGGATTAGAAGGAAAGTATAAGCCAAGATGCATCACACTTGGTACATTATGTATCATAAACCCATCTACAATACTAGAGTCATGGGACTAAAGCAGTTCACATGGGTCTTGTTCGCGTCTTAAGTTGAAGTTAACCATCTGATATTCAGAAGGATTGAGTGTGAAGTCATTCAACGAAAACCAATGACCGATTTCCTCTAAGAACTAATTAAGCTGAGAACAAACTGAAGAGATGACCGACATGGACATTGTTAGAATATCTGCATACTTAACCAAATAGGTTTCATTTGAGGAAGGTAAGTCATTCAAAAAAAGAAAGAAAAGAGAAAGGAGAAAGAACAATACCAGCTTCAATAAGTAGCGACGTGTAGCGTTCCTCTCTAACAAAAAATGTACTGCCTTCTCTCAGAAAAATAAAAATAAAGCCAGTTTGCAACCCAGGGCTCAATATCAGTTCTGCCAAGCCCTCTTAGTTAAAGGGGTCCAGGGACAGAACTAAAATAACCTTTGTCGAGACTGGTAATAGTATTATGATGGGAGATAATTGCAGCATATATATACATATATGGTTCATTGGTTTAGGTAGATGACTTTCAAACAATGGGTTGCGGGTTCGAAACCTGTTTCACCCAGCGACGTCGAGGTAACTAAGTAGTATCACTGGTCCTCACACAGCAGGTGCGACTTATTGACTACTGCAGGAATGTGCACTTGGTTCCTGGGTGCTTTCTTTTCCCCGATGATTTTACTTCTCAACAAACCTGATATCTACACGTACGATCATGTATCTTCTCATGAGGATTTGAAGTATAATGATGAGTTATGAAAGAAGTTATGTAGTTCATGCTACTTTTAAGAATCTAGACTATCCTGGTGGATGACATAACAGCAGCACCTTTTGATTCACCGATAACTTTTGTCCAGAGAGTGTAAACTTATTCTGGAGCACTTTTCCTCCAGGTGCACGTTCTGACATAGTTTGACTCATCTGATCTGCATGGAATAAAATATACAATGGCTGAGGCAATTTGTCAGCATTTTAGAGAGACTAATTAATTCCTTTTCTTCTTTCCTCTTAAAAAAATAGTGGAATGTAACAAAATAACTTCCCTTAAGGTTTTAAACGATGACTTCATATCTTGTATAGTCCTAATTTTGTAAAAATTCTCGAAAGCTGCGTAAACCGATTGTATCCTAACATCCATTACCATGATTTCTTTAACACTGAAACGACTAAACAAATTAGACAACCTTAAGACTGTACGTCCGAATGGACTTCGGTATAGGTCTGGTCATCCTGTATGCACATAAGCAATAATACAACAAGTTCTTCTGTTTATGGATCCACTGAGATCAACTTGGATTCGTTGCCGGGGCTTCCTGGCCACCTGTAAGGGAGTTAGGTTAACTTCTATCCGACTGTATGAAGTTTACAGGTATAGCCTGTAATCCACTTATTGATTAGATTGATCGGATGACGCTATCGCAAACTTCAGTTTTCTGCAGGGTCTCGACTTAGTTAACGAGGAGATGTGGAGATCTAACAGCTTGACATTTCGTACCGAGTTTAATTAAGCCGAGAAGATCTAAAAGTGGCTGGTGCATCGCTATGATGCTGATTATGCCAATGTATCGTATGATGGAAAATTTCAACTCTCTGGATTAAAAACAAAACAGGATAAAAGAAGAATGATATTTCATTCCCTTGTTGTTTTATTAAAGCTATGTAAATATTCTGAGTTCTTAGAAAAGTGATAAATATTGAACATATACACAGGTATCCAGGGTTAAGTTATTTATTCGCGGTAGAACCTTTTATCGACCAAACAATAAGAAGGTATAGTTTATCTGGAACCTGTGATGTAACATTATAGAGCAATAATATTTCAGATAATCCGGTCACACACACTACTTGTCATGTATGTTTACATGAATTATAACAAATGATGAGTTTAAAATAAATAATTGAATTTACTATGGAGGTAGTATTCGCCATGGACTGTCATCATTTAGGGTACCATTGAAAATCTGGGAGCACTGGACAGCCGTTCCATCCTAGTATGGGACTCCTCAGCAGTACGCACCCACGACCCGGCTAGGAATCGAACTCAGGACCTTCCGGTTTCACGATGAACGCGCTAACCATTCAGTCACTGGGTCGGTTTTCAGTGGTTCACAATTTCCAACTTTTGTCAATTCACGATACAGCGCGACTACCACCCAAAGTCTTTAGTTGGTATCCGCTTCACTTCCCACTGGTTGGACCCTACAGGTCACGGCTTCTCATTAGAGCTTCGTCATAATCACCTGGATGCAAGTCACTAATGGAATACTACCTCTAAATAAAAAATCCCCATTCATCTCAAAAATATATTACTGTTAAGGGCTCATTAGTGACTTGCATCCAGGTGATTATGACGAAGCTCTAATGAGAAGCCGTGACCTGTAGGGTCCAACCAGTGGGAAGTGAAGCGGATACCAACTAAAGACTTTGGGTGGTAGTCGCGCTGTATCGTGAATTGACAAAAGTTGGAAATTGTGAACCACTGAAAACCGACCCAGTGACTGAATGGTTAGCGCGTTCATCGTGAAACCGGAAGGTCCTGAGTTCGATTCCTAGCCGGGTCGTGGGTGCGTACTGCTGAGGAGTCCCATACTAAAACGAAACAGCCGTCTAGTGCCCCCAAATTCCCAATGTTTCTTCAACTGATGTCAGTCCATGATGAATACTAGCTCTAAGTTTAAAATCCCCATTCATATCAAAAACTGAATTATTAGCCTAGACTGAAAGAGGAAGATAGCATATTGACCCCTCTAAACTCAGTTAACAATTGAGATATTCACATGTCATACGTCGACCGTCTGGTTGGAAGATATGAGGACGATATCATAACTATAAGCGACAAGCTGGAAGATGTTACTTCGATTCCGAATCCAATGAATGAAGCTCAAAGCAGTTTATCTTGAATATGTGAGGAAGAAAAAGATGACTGCCTACCATTCTCAGACAGTCGCATAATCCGTTGGCAAGAAGGGACAATGAAATGATTCACCTATAGGTAATGTATATGAACAAGACTAACTAAATTTCAACTTGGTATCCATTGGGGACTGATATGAATAGGAGGAACACTGGAAACCTAGGAGTACTAGACAGCCGTTTAGTTTCACTATGGGACTCCTCAGCAGTGCGTACCCGTGACCCCGCCAGGGGTCAAACAGAGGACTTCCGGGTTCCCCTGTCAGCATGTTACCATTGAACGACTGGGTCAGAATTCAATGGTCTATATTTCCAACTTCTGTCAATTCACGACACAGCGTGACCATTACCCAAGGTCTTCAGATGGCAACATATCGTTTATATATTAACTAATCTACCCGGAAAAATGCACTGCTCAGGAGTCTTATAATAGGACGGAACAGATGGCCGGTGCTCCCGGGTTCCCAATGTTTCTCCAGGTAATGTCAGTCAATGATGAATACCAACTTGAAATCAATAAATCCCCACAAA